ACAAATTCAGTTTGCTTTAGAAAACATAAAGAAATGGGGTATTTTCTTCTATGAAATGTATAGTGAAGGATTTTCATGCCACATATGTATATAATTTATTTACTGAAGCAGGTTAGAGAAACCCATTCTCTTCCTAGCATAGTAGAGCTGAAACTATTAATAATGGGTGATCTATAGCTTTATTTTCTAAACACTGTAGTGTCTTGGCTTCCATGATACCCTTAATGATGAAGCCATTAATTCAACATACATATTTTAATTTTATATTTTTTGGAATGTCTGTGACAGGTGTACAGTTGTAGTAAATACGTTTTCAGTTATTTCCTCTATGTCTCTTCTTCTTTTCTTCCTCAATAATAGAACCTTGATTGTGTTCCCAGATATAATCTAAGATTAAACCATATATCATGAGGGTCTAAGACTAATACAACTGTTCAGTCTTCTATATTGTCTAGTCTAGCAAAGTAAGATGGTAAATGAAGGTTTAATGACATGGTCCCATTTTGAACAAAAAAGATTCAGGTTGTCTGAAATGGCTCCTGGAAAAGATTTCACATTCCTTACAAGAAGGGCATATGTGGTTGGTATAACCTGTTCCTCTTTTCTTCTTGTCTTAAACATATCCAGAGTCACAGCAGCTCTCTTGTGATCATGTCACAACAATCATGAGGACAAAAAATAAATCCTCTAGGGATGCCACAGCAGAAGGAGGAGGATCATTGTTGATTTTGTTAAGCAACTGAATCAAGACCTACAGATCTTCTTTCTTCTACATTTCTTAAGTGAACAAAATACACCCTCACTATTAAATCCATGGTTGGGATTCCTCTTACTTGAAGCCAAAAACAGTATCTCCACCACTACTTTCAGTAGTCCATGTGCTAGATTTAGCAAGTATATAATAAATTGACAAATAACACAGCTGAAATAAAATGCACCTTAAATGCACCTGTGCTAATATATTTCTTCATTTTTATCTCAGTCAAATGCAATTCTTTCTACTTAAAATCACAAATAATCAGACAATAGCAAGGTTAATACTCAACAAAACTGCTAATTGGAAAAAGACTGTCTGTCACTAATGGAGGGTTCAAAAAGGCCTCTGTGCTAAAACTAGAACTGTAAGAAGAATCCAGGCATGTGAGAATAATCCAAATTGGATTATTTGCCTTGGATATACTTAGTATGTTCTTCCTTATCATGTTTTCTCATCCTATTCTGCCTGAAATGCTTCCCACTATTTCTTTCTGTGAAACACAAACTACCTTCAATACTACCGTCTTTATGAATACTTACCTCATTCTCTCTAGCCAAATCCTGTTCTGATTCTCTCAAAGCAAATGCTGGGATACCCCCTCCCTGCATTACTCAGGGTTCTTTCAGATATTATAAGAAACAATGTTGTAATAATTGTAAAGGGAACATACCACCGAATGGATTGGGGTGGAGTTTGCTTTAAAAATGACTCGATGTGAGTCATTTTTTCAAACACAAAAACATGGTATTTGAACCCCTTAAGCACATTTACATATATTCAGAAATTGGCTATGTACTACTTCTAAAATGTTTTTAATATTGCTGGGAGCCATTAGCCAAGCAGGTATGACAATTTCCTTGCCAGCGTACCCCATGTTGCTTAGTGGAAGGACTCGTGGAAATAGGACATTTTGCAGTGACATTGCATGTAGGTGACCTTGCTCAAGGACCAGGGCGGATCTGGGATTAGGGTGTTCCCGGTTTAGGATAATCGGGTTTAGGGCGTTCCAGGTTTAAGATTATTCCTGCTGGGAATAGGGCGTATCCTGCTGCCTGAGTTCCCCTTGAGTTCTCATGGGATTCAGACAGTATTTTTTGGGAGATAGAAGCCCAGTGGAGGTGGATTTGGGTAGAGAACGTGGATTTCCCCAGAACGTGATTGTAGACGGCTGGTGTGAGTTCGGGAATAAAGAGTTGCTGTTTGAATCTACAAGCTGTGTGGTGGCTCGTGATTGTGTGCCTAGCCAGACTGTGGCAAATATTTAAAATGTGACCTAGTGGAAACAACTTCTGTTATCATAAAAGCACTTTGTGAAGTCAGTATTCAGATTTACATTTGAATATACTAAGAATATATATATAAAAAAGATGTCCTTGAACTAAAACCAACTGAAGATATCATGAAGATAATTGGTCTGAAGAAATGTACATGACATGATATGTATGCAAAGAAATATAAACATAAAGCAATGTGACATATATTATATTAGTTGCATATGTAAATAGCATAAAAGAAAAGTTGCAATGTTGCCTAACTCTGGCTGAGGAAATCAGGGTCAGCATCAGAGGAGAAATATTAGAGATCCATTTTAAAATTCGAAGTTGATGCCCAGGGTGTATAGGGCACGACCTAAAAACTCAGCTATAGGCTGAGCACAGTTGCTATTGCTGAAAATGGAGAATAGATATTTGGAGGATGAGAACAAACTCCTCTCAAAGCTAAGAAATCAGTGGTTAACTACTTATATAATTGCAGATTTCTATATGAGTTTTCTAGTTGTCATTGTAAACATCACAAGTAATACTTAGGGATAAATACAATTAATAACAAATGTGTCATTATGTAAATCCACAAATCAGACAATATCAAGGCTTACTACTTCTATGGGTCCCCTTTATAGAAGCGTTCATAATATAGTACTTGGTTTACCAAATTGTAAAATAATTTACAGAACTTGTGATATCTAATATACCTTGGAAGTAGACTATAAACCTCTTAGTTACAAATCCAAGACTGAAACACTTTAATTTCAGTTCTGAGACTGAAAAATATTTATAGGCATGTTTTCCTAATCAAATGCAATTATAAAATAATTGTTTTCATACTCTATCCCAAATTTTAGAGTTTAAAATCTTAAAAAAGTAAAGGAAAGAAAAAAAAACTATTCTATAATGAACATTTAGGGTAAATAAGAAAGGAAGAGTAACTCCAAATACTTACTTTTTAAAGTTTTTTCTCTCTTTTTTTTTACACCCTGTAACCCACACTACTGACAGGAAAGCTATATTGTGATTTTACTTATTGTCATATTGTGATTTTACTTATTGCAGAAACCTGAATACCCTATACAATTTTAAATCTAGACACATCCTAAACTGCCTAGTATCTTTGTATCAATAATCTCAATTACATAGATTTTTATGTTATCAGAGAAGGAAATCTAGGATTCCTCTATGAAACCCATAAAGTTTTTCTTTTTGTTGCTGTTGTTGTTTCAAGGATTGAATCCAGGGGCACTTAATCACTGAGCTACATCCTCAGTCCTTTATTTATTTTATTTAAGACAGGGTCTTGCTAAGATGCAGAGGCTATTTTTGAATTTGTGATCCTCCTGCCTCAGCCTCCTGAGTTGCTAGGATTATAGGTGCATGCCACTGTTTCTAACCCCATAAACAGTTTCTCATAAGAAGAAGTGCAAAATTATTCAGAACAAAGAAAAACCTTTATGGAAAATTGTGCCACTCATGGCAATATGACTTCAAAATTGTCAGCAGTCCTGTAGAAAACAAAGAAAGAGGAATAGGATAGCAGATTTTTTTTTTAAAGTTTGCTTTGGGAGTAGATAATAGCAATTATATTTGAGCAATAATACTTAATACCATTACTCTTAGTTCATCACACATTAATATCTATAAACACAATTCCCTTGAAAACTCATTGTCTTTGAGAGGACCTCATTAGAAATCACATTGTATACACAGTTCTGAAAACTTCAAAATATGTATTTACCATTTGTTTTGTTCATTTTACATGTAATGTTAATAACATAAGAATTCTAATACAAATTGAAAAAATAATTGAAATAAACAGGTAGCAAAGGTAATCTCTCAGTATTACGGACAGGATTTTTAAATATAATGTGTCATATTGTTCTGGCTCCTATTTATCATATCAATAAGAGGCAATATTTTCACTAATGATAATTTAATTCAAATTTGCTTTAGGTCCCATGTGATAATCTTTGATGCTGTAACATTTTTAATTGCCTTGTTTCTAAAATAATTTCCATTAATCTGACTTCTTAAGAAAACTTAAAGAAGGCATATTTTCTCAAATACTCTAAAAGTAAAGATTTCTGATTATTGCTATTAGACATATTTTGCTATAGTAAATGAGTATTCTGAACTTCCAAGAACCAATTTGATCTGATAGATTGTAAATTAATTAAACAAATACATAACCACTTCTTTTTATATGCATTTTACTTTCTTAGTTTAGTGTTTTACATAAAGTAGCTATATATATAAAATACATAATTTTATATTATATTATAATACCTGATATATAATTTAAAGAGACATTTAAGTTTGTTGGTATAATTAGCTCATTTCTTATATTAGGGCACTAGTAAAATACATTTATTAACTCATACAACAATTGATATAACAAACCTAATATAATTCTCATCCTGTAAACTTCTTTTATTCATGAGAATATGAGATGCTATATGCTATAATAAAGTAATTATGCATAAATTTATTTTTAATAAGGCATTTCAACAAAAGAACAACAACCAAACACTTCAGCTAATTTTTGTTTTTAAATAACCTAAAACCAACCAGTTATCATTAATGATTGCACTGCACAGGCATTGTGTTCATTTTGTAAGGGGATGAGAACTCAGACAATGGATTTCTATCAGTTAAAAAAAATTATCTACATTTCTTAAATATTGGAGAAGGGGAATCCTGGTATTTAAAACATACATAATAAATAAACCCAAATTCTACAAATTATTAATTCTTTGAAACCTTGTTCATTTCAATGATTAAAATGACAAAACCTACAATATCTGTAACATACGGAATTGTTGTTAAGGTTAAATAAAATTACATACGTAGAAGAGAATTGTAAACTGCAAATTGATAACCAAATATTAGATATTATTTCACTAATACACTGAAATTATTTAATAAATATTAAACAATAGCATTTGATGATTTTATGCTTCTAAGATACTTACTGGTATAGACAAGTTGAAAACCTTCATCTGTTCCTTCAGAATCAGAATTAAATTCTAACCAGAGTTGATTTGAAGTACTACTAAGTGTCAGTCCTCGCATAGATGCACCAGTGAATGCACCCAGTAGATGTGTTGTTTTATCTTTTCCATCATAAATCTGCAAAATGTATTTATAATTAAAATGTAAAATGTAAAGATCCAGTTCAGAACAATGTATTTATATCCTATAAGGAAGAGGAAATTATTATACTGTTCCTACATCAGGTCAGTACATATTACTCAAGAACAATCAAATATACTAGCACTACAAATATCACATTAGAAAAGTTAGAATATGCTGGGAGCCATTAGCCAAGTAGGTATGACAATTTCCTTGCCAGCGTACCCCATGTTGCAGTGACATTGAATGTACGTGACCTTGCTCAAGGACCAAGGCAGATTAGGGTGTTCCCGGTTTTAAGATAATCGTGTTTAGGGCGTTCCCAGTTTAGGTTCCAGGTTTAAGGTTTAAGATTATTCCTGCTGGGAATAGGGCGTATCCTGCTGCCTGAGTTCCCCTTGAGTTCTCACGGGATTCAGACAATATATTTGGGAGATAGAAGCCCAGTGGAAGTGGATTTGGGCAGAGAACGTGGATTTGGGCAGAGAACATGGATTTCCCCAGAACGTGATTGTAGACGGCTGGTGTGAGTTCGGGAATAAAGAGTTGCTGTTTGAATCTACAAGCTGTGTGGTGGCTCGTGATTGTGTGCCCAGCCAGACTGCGGCAAGAATACATGTATAATTTTAAAATTCTAAACTTAGTAGACTCTCAGAAATATTTGATTATGTTATATAACTTTGTTCTTGTAGGAATAATATGTTTTCATGGGAGACAACTTAAAATTAAGAATATCTACATTAAGATTGTTTTCCAAGGTCAGACAGTTGATTGTTTTTCTTTAACTTTCTTAAGGGGACCAAATACTTGCTTTTCCTATATGTAATTAATATAAAACATGTTTTAAAATTTTACTCATGATCGTTAAGTTGATTAATTTTGATATTTTAAAAGACTATTAAATGCTTTTAGAATCTAAATTAACAGGGCAAAACTATACAAGGCAAAATTGATGAGCTCCTCCTTAGGCTTATATCATTAGTCTTCTTTTGAAATTATAACTTCTTATTGCACTCTAATTTGTTTTTCCTTTATCAATGCATAATAGACATCTCTTCAGGTAAGTAAATACAGATTCTTCCTATCTAGAGCTATGTAGTGACACTATCATAACTTGCTCTACCCTGTCCATATTAATGAATTAATTTTTTTTTTCTACAACTAGTAATGCTGAAATGAACATCCTTTTACACACAATCCCATGGAATTTTGGTACTTGTGTTTCAATAAGAATATTTTCAAAATATGAGATTTCTAAGATAACATGTTCATGTATTTCTAGATTTTTTTCCAAAAAGTATATAATAAAAAAATGTATAGTTTACCAACTGTGCATATCACCATTATTTTTCTTTTAAGGCATGCATTTTCAATATGGTCAATATTACGCAAAAGTGGATGAAAATTTTTTCTTGGGAGCAATAACACTTTAGATGTTGCAATGATTTGTGGTCTCCCAAAGATCATATGTAACAAGAAATCTTGATTTATTTTTCCCCATGTTATTGACAATTAAACCTAGGTCCTCACTCATGTTAGGCAGACTCTCAACCACTGAACTACACCATCACCCCCATAACCAACAAATCATTTTCCATAATATTTAGTTTCATGGAGTTGAATATTGGGTAAGTTTATGTGAATGATCATGAAAAGAAAAAGTTGACAAATACTGCTCAAAAGCTACTTCTTTTGCCACAAATTATCTTAAGTTACCTGTGACCTGAATTTTTACTCCAGTGATCCTGCTTTAGCACAGTGCTCCCTCAAAACTAGTACTATTACATTGATGTAATAGTACTGTAACTAACAGACAATTTTTTTTAGGGATTTACTAAGAGCCACAGCCAAGTAATATGATGCATGGCATTTTTGGTTGAAAGGTGATGCCAGCAAGCCATTGAGATGATATGATTATGTTAAGATTTGCATTCATATGGATATTGGACTCCTGCTGTTCACCTGGGGCCTGCTACTGGACTCCTGGAGAGTTCCAATTGGTTGGGGAAGTGCGGTAGGAGTGAATTCCAGAGGAGGAACTTCCTCTGGGGATCAGGGAGAACGCCGCGTGTCGATCGGCAATCTTCCCGGGAGCTTACGGGGCATTGGCGGCAGTTTCAAAAAATAAAGTTCGTTCCTGCTTAAGTGGCTCCTGATTTTGTGCCCAGCCAGACTGCAGCAGGGATTGCTTTATTAGTAGTATTTACCTGCATGATATATTTTTCTTGTATTAAACTGCTGTGAAAAAATTAATAATATACTTAGAATAGATTTTATATAATTGATAAAAACTGTTTACATTTTTTCTTCTGTGTTATAAACAACCTTCCAGTGGATTTTCCATAGTAACAAGTTTTTTTGCAGTGACCATGGTTCTTTTAGATCTGTTAAAATCTTAAATTTTAAAATCATGAATCAAGTTTTAGGGAATATTTTTCAAGGAGAGAAGTTAATCTAGTTACATTATCTTAAGATTTTTTCACTACTTTAAAAATTATTTGCAAATTAAAAATTTCTGTTTTAACACTTCCGTAGTTTGAATTTGAGGCAAATTACTTGTATTTGGTGTTTAGCTTGGTCTTTCTCCCCCTGGTTATTGAATTTACCTAAGTATGTGCTTATGTATCTCTAGCTACTGAAGATTTTAGGTTTTCTCAAATTTTCAGTGGTAAAGAAAAACAAAATCTTAATAACACATGGCAGAAACAGTTACTTTATATGTTGAAATCATTTTTATATGTAAAATTTAAAAAAGTAACAGATTAATTCAATCCATATTTATTTATTTATTTTTTAAAGAGAGAGCGAGAGAGTGAGGAGGAGAGAGAGAGAGAGAGAGAGAGAAGTTTAATATTTATTTATGTATTTTTTTTTAGTTATCGGCGGACACAACATCTTTGTTTTGTGTGTGGTGCTGAGGATCGAACCCGGGCCGCACGCATGCCAGGCGAGCGTGCTACCACTTGAGCCACATCCCCAGCCCTAATCCATATTTAGTTCTACACTTTTGTTAGATGCTATGGATAAGATTTTAAAAACATAATAAGACATCATTTTTAACCTGAAGGAGATTTTTTAAAAAATTAGCCCAATACTGTCTGGCACAACAGAGACATTTTTTTATTGAATTTTTCTAGTTTTTAAGCCAGAAACTAGCTGAAATCCTTCAAACATCTATCTATCTATCTATTGATCGATGGATCAATTGATCATTCTTTCTTTGAAAAGAAATTTTAACACATATTTTAAAAGATAATTATTGTATGAGAAGGTATGATAAAAGAGCTAGTATTAAAAAAATTATCTTAAATTCAGCTGGGAGAATCTAATTCAACACCAAATTCTACTAACCATATTTTATTTAACAACATAGAGTCAAAAGATAGAAACCATATAATATAGAAGTTCCACTATAAAATGAAGCTTGGTTAACTCAAGTGTAAAATTTTGGAAACATGCATAAAATTACTAAATCAAAATAAAAAGCAAGCATCATTAGAAAGATTTTTAAAAAAGAAAGAGCTTCAGAATAATGATCAGGTCAATGCTGTTTAATTTGTAGATAAAATGCTTCAAACATATTCAAATATATTATATGAAGACATTTAAAAAACAGAAAAAGACAAAGCACAAATTGCTTTTAAACTAGTCATGAATGAAAACGTATGAATAAAAAAACAAAACAAACAAAATGTACCTTTCCTTCAAAAGTACATTTATAGTTCAGAGTGATTAACTGGGTCTGATTAGAACTTAAAACTTTTTTTTTTTATTTGAGGTTGTTAGTTCTCATATTTCTTTTGTAATTAAAATAAAGATCTGTAAGTACATTTTCATTAATTTGGGCCTAATCTCACAAATAAATGGATTTTATTTTTTAAATATCCAAAAAGTATTATTGTTATTATGTTGAGTTAAGAATATAAGAGATCTGCCCACACCAGCCTGTATGGGACCCAGGCTCATAGTAGGCCTGCGTGCATCCATTCACTGACAGACTCCCGTCAGAGCCCAGCCTCCAGCACAGGACTGCCCCTTCTGACCAGCAAACTACCACTTGAGGCCAGGCCCAGCCCATATCCACCCACACCGACTTGTGCTGGGACCCAGGTCCAGGGTAGGTCTGTGTTTGCCCCCCACCCCCTGCCACCTGGGAGCCTAAGCCTAACCCACATCCATTTTGGGACACTATAGTCATCGCCATAGCCTTTCACACACAGAAGCCCTTACCTTTTTGACAACAGACAGGGCCTACAAGCAGGTGCATCTCAGATCAGGCATCCAAAAGAGATTGTGAGGCCCATCCCTTCAGCCTCATCTCTGTGATACATTGCATCCATCTTGGGGCACCTCAACTATTATCTCAAGTTACCTTGGCAATTGTTGTCACCACCTTTAGTTGCAGTAGCATACATTGAGGGACACCAGCAGGGTCTGGATGCCCAACATCAAGGTGAGGTACAGACAATCTGCACAGGTACTATAAGAATATAGGGTATAAATTATAATATCTCAGATCTACACTGCAAGAAAGGAAGATGTATTGACAACATAAAAAATCAAGGGAGGAAAATGCTCCAAACAAACCAGGATACTATAACAGATCCCATGGACAGCAAAGTTGATGAAATGTCAGAGAAAGAGTTCAGGAGGTTCATAATTAAAATGATCTATGAGTTAAAGAATGACCTAAATGCGCAAATACAGGAAAAAATTGATCACTCCAACAAGGAGATAAGAGAGCAAATACAGGTAGTAAAAGATTATTTAAAGAAAGAGCTAGAGAATCTAATAAAAAAAGTCAGAAATCCTTGAAATGAAGGATACAAAATAAATCAAATAAAAATCTCAATAGAAAGCATAACCAACAGACTAGATCACTTGGAAGAAAGAATGCCAGATAATGAAGACAAAATATACAATCTGGAAAATAAAGTTGATCACACAGTGAAGATAGTAAGAAACCACGAACAGAACATACAAGAATTATAGGACAG